TATAAATTACCATTTGGCAATTGAATTTACAATAATCATCTCTAAAATTCAAAATAAAACACAAGCAGTAATTTATAAATTAAATAAACAGTACAGGTAAACTCAAAATTTATTACTGAACAAATCTCAGTCAATACAAAAGGTGTAAGGCCCTTACATTGAGAAGGAAAACTAAATCATGAGGTGAAATAATATTATTCAGTAATTATGCCTAAAAATCAAGAAAAAGATATAATTCTGCATAAAACTCAAGTTTGGCCTGTACACTGTACAATATAGAATAAGCATGTGAATATTACCAGAAGCTCAAAAGAGCATGAATAAAGTATACACAATTTTCATACCTGAATTAACACAAAAACAATATAATAAATTGCACCACCTTATATTTCAAGTATTTTGTACCATTTTCAACCCTGATGGAAATAAATATAATTAAATATAAGGAACGTAGAGGCTGTAATTAATTTACACAAACAAGTGAAGATTCTGAACCTAGAATGTGACATTTTGAACATGAAATATGACAGTGTGGTGTGTGGGAGTGGGTGTGGTGTGTTGCTGTGGACTGTAGCTGTGGTCCGTGGGAGTGGTCAGTGGAAGTGTGGGGGTGGGTGGGTTTGATTGATTGGTTGTTTTAGTGATTCCGGGCACGTCAACTACCAATGACCCGTAAGTGTAGGGTACGTTTTGCTCGGGAGGTGGCTGTAATTTTTCCCTCAATGCATGGCGAGATCCGCTGCCGACCGGCTAGCGGGGATTCGCCAACCAGGCATCTCCCACCAGCGGAACGCCATCCCAGCCGGGACAAGGAAGGGGCAGGAATGATCGCGTGCGGTCCGCGGTCCGTGTCCCGTTTGGCAGGGTATTGTGTTGATTCTCCGCTTCTCCGGCATTCGCCTTTCCCCGCTTCAGACAGTCGCAGCCGTACGCGGATGGCGGCGTCGGACGCAGAATTTCGGCGTCTTTTCGAGAAAAAATACGGCGTGAATATGTCATTGCAAAATAATAGTTTTTTTAAACAAATTTAAGGAAATAAACTTTTTAAGATTTATTCGAGGAGCGTGTCTCGTTCTGCGTGTTCCCTCGCATATGAAGCGGCACCTGTCCGTCCGACAGGCGGCTATGCGAAAATAAACGCGTTGCTAGTATTACTGCAATAACGGGAGACCCACGGTTGCAAACAGAAGTGTCGTCAAAACATCCGTGTTTGCGCCGATCTCGACCGACCCGGGGAACAATATAGTAAAAGATGGCGAGACCTTTTTTCGAATCATCTCCTCCTTTCAAGAGTTTGAAAGAAAGGCGTGCGCGTGGTTAACTTTCGCGAATGTTTTCTCCTAAACGAGAGCAGATATAACCACGGGACTTGAAGCTTTGTTTTCAGCGTTGAGTGTGGAGTCGACTCGGTTTTTTGCTGCGCACACGGGAGCAAAAACCAAAAAGGTCCGTGTGCGTACTTCGAAGCCAGGACGCCGACCGACTCGTAAAAATTCCCCTCGACGCGGCGCACATAAAAGATAAGGACCTCCGAAGCGTCCAGGCGCTTCGTTTAGGCGCGAGCAAATGGAAGAAAAGGAAAAACCGCAGCGGGGACAGGGCGCGGGAACGTTATACGTCGGGAACCGTTCGTCCGATCACAATGCGGTTTGCAGTGCCGAATCGTCTTTGAAGAGGAGAACCTAGAGAAGAAGTAAGGATTTTTTCTCAAAAATTTAGCAGATTTGCATTCCCCGGGGCTCGACCCGGAGGGTCGCACGGCGTCGACGACCTGTCCGTCGCGTCGGGCGCCCTCGTTATAGTAAGAACCCCGCATTCTGCACCTCTGCCTCGAAATTCTAGGAAATTCGCGAAGTCGGTCTTCTGAAAGGGGGCGTGGCCGGGCGGGTCGTCGTTGGAGAGTCGAAGTTCGAATTCGCAACAACAATTTCGTGATACGCGCGTTACGCAATACTACAGTCGTGTTGGAAAGTAACCGTCGAAACCGCGCGTTGCTATCTTCATTCGTTTGGCCGGTGTAGTATTTTGAAGCCAGAATGCTTTGTTTTAACGGTTTAATCCATTCGGCGGGACAGTATCCTGTTGCCCCTGAAACTGGTAGGTTTCCTTCGAAGCCTAAAAACGCGTCTTTCCAGCGAGGACTTGCCTTCGGGCGTACGCAAGACGCGTCGGTTGGCTGGGCAACGTAGCGGGGCCCTCCGAATCCGCTCCCTGAACGCTCCCAAATTTCAACGTCGCCACGTGGCTTCATCGGTTTCATTTTTTTTTCGGCCGAACGAGCTGTCCGAGCGCGTTCGGGCTTCTTAGTTTTCCGGTTACGTTTCGCCTGTAGCTTCGAACGAAAAATACTTCGCGTCCGCCCCCGCTCTCGCTTTTCGTGATGAGAGTTCAAACTTTCGCGATTTTCATTTTTCCCGATATCAGCAAAATTAGGCAAGAAGCGCCCCCGCAAGTCGCGTCCAACGCTTGCAAGCGCGTGTCGATGTTACTCTCCGATTCGGTCAAAAAAGTTGGGACGTCACTTCCTGGAAGCCGAGTTGACGCCGATCTCTACCCCATGTCGCGATTCTGAACAACTATGACGACACGCCGAACGAAAGAGGAGCGTTTCGTCTCTGACAACTACGAGTCTCGAGTCTGTGGGGGCAGGAACCGCCGCGACAGCGCTACTTTCCGAAAAAACAGCGATTTGACGACTGCGGCGGGAAAAACCCTCGCGAAAGCCGACTTCGCGGCGTCCACGGGCGCGGCGTCCGCGAAACGACAGCCGACCGTGCCGACTACGGCGATCCGAAAGGTTGCGTCGTTTGAACGAGTCGAGTAAGACCTTGTTTTCTGAAAGCACTTTGTAAAATTAACCACTCGCTTCCTAGATCCGAACGCGATAATTGTAGATGTAAGCTTTCTTGGGCTGCGGCGATTACCTTTTCTTTCAAACCTTTCCACCGCCACTAGCCGTCATGTATGGTCATAAGTAGGAGGTGGATTTTGATGACACAAATCAATGCTAAAAATGATTAATAAAATGCTCTTAAAATGCTTTAAAAATGTCCTAACACATGCCCTAAAACAAAGAAGAATGACGTAAAAAATTGATTAAAACAACTTCAGATGATCAAGTCAAGCTGTAGGATACCTTGCCACTGATGTAATTGATAACTTATCCTTCTCCCTTTTGTTTAAGTAAACTCAGCTTGCAAACTTTGGGTTTGCACTGTTCTTTAAATTACTATCTCTGCCTTTATTTATCGTGAAATCGGCCGAACTGACAAAGGCGCCGAGAAACGTCACAAGAACCTTGGATCACTTAGTACTCACAACGGTTGACATAATATATGAGTGAAGAAATCGAATAGGTAACTCAGGAATTCTGTGGTGAACATTTGTTGCACCTCGTAAATATTGTTTGAAGCTAGTACCGTTAAAATGATATAAAAATCGATTAAATCAGCAAATAATGCAGTAAAAATAACGTAAAAATGAAAAAAAAAACTCGGTCGAAATTGACGAGAAATGCACAAAAATGTCACATAAAAATGGCAAGACAATTCATTACCATCCGCCCCCTAGTCATGTGGAATACATACGCTGCAGCTTTTCGGCTTTTGCGATAAATAAGGGACCGCGATTAATTGCTAATTTATTACCTATCTTAGCCTATGGAAAAAGCCGGCGCTCTGCCCGGCAACCTTGAATTCGGTGGGCGCCTCCGTCAAGGAATTGCGTTGCATCGCCGGCCGCGGTCGTTCAAGGACGCTTGGCAAACTGCTTTTTGTCGCCGCCCTTTGTTACTTGGGATGGGGAGTGGGCGGTGGTGGCGTTGGCCACTGAGGGGACTGGCGCTACCCTACGAAGCGAGGGTGTGGGTCGCTTCCACTTGGAGCTGGGGGAGGTCGGAGGCGTTGCGTGGCGGCGGCGGCGCACTGGGACTGGACGCCCTTCATGAGTTTCCGCAGCCTTTTGTCGAAGGGTCGGGAGGGGCGCATGGAAGATGCGGCGAGATCCGGCTGAAGTCGACCTCCTAAATATTCTCTTTCTGACAGCAGACAGGCACAGTGACGCCTCCCCTTTTCCTGTGACCTTTAGCAGTGGCTTTGTTCGACGTCTTTAATGTCAGCGAAACAAATTTTTTTTAAAAAATATTGAAATTATATTCAAAATATGTCGCTTTTTGTTGCTAATTAGTTACGCAAAAAAGTTGTTTCTCATTTGACCCTGTTAATTTTTTTTAGTTTTGTCTCACAAATAGTTTTAACATACAACTAGAGGTTCGCAAGTTATTTTCACAATTAAGCGCCCAACCCTCGTATCTCCTCCCCGGGGCTATCTGGTAGTAGGCCTGGGCAACGAGCTGGCTCAACCGTTGAGCATTTGGGAAATTTCCGAAAACAATTCACATACATGCTCCACCTAACAATATTTTACCTCATTACTCAATTTTTTTTCTAATTCACACGTTGAAATTTATATTTTGAAATTGCGATCTATCCCATTTAAATTAATACTAATTGGAAATTGCCAGATCCTCTAAAAGTGAATAGTAACTAATCTCGTTTTCTGAACGTATTCTGAATCAAAGTATACAACGTTTTCTCCGATTCCCATGGAAAACTGACATTTTTGGATCTTCATATTTTATTTGATGTCATTCTGAAGCAATCTATAAAGCGTTACCAGAACTTCGTATGTATTATTACATATTTCATTGATATAAATGTGATAATTTTAATTATATCATTGTATCGGGGTTCGATTAATAATTAGCTCGTAGCTTTGGTTTCTAGGAAATAGAAGAAAAAAATATTGGGTCGTATTGTTAAACTTATTTATTTTTTACATTTTTATCTTGACACCGTAATGGCATACATTTTATACATAATATACTTTAGTAATAATTATAACTTATACACTACACATGTGAAATACAGATTGTGTTGGCGGAATTCCACTTGCATGAACTCTATCTTCGGTACCATTCACTCTGATCACGAACCTTGATGTATCAAAATATTTGAGAATATTTTATGAGCAAGAGTCAGTCTTCTGTTCCGTGCTAATATGCCACGGTATTTCCAGACCTTCGACCCGAGATGTGGGGGCCATCTCGGGTGAAGCGACTGGTCGATGCCTGTCTTGCTGGAGACTGGTCAGGCCACTCAACGCAGGCGCGAACGGTTCGTCGGGAATACCTTTTAGGACTGATGTGTCGTGGTCCATCGACAAAGTATCATTCATATCCACGGCAGCAGTGAAAATCTAGAAAGTTTTATAATTCAGTTTATTTTCTCCTTCGTATTCGATATATCAAGGTCCAGTGAAGTTGTTTTGTAGTAGATACTGTAGATTCCATACGGCTCCTGAGGAACCAGATACCGGTCGACGGACAAGTGGCGACAGGAAATAAACGCTAGCACGCAAGTCTGGTGGTTTACTAACTCGTTACCTTTCCAGAACTTTTCATAAGAGTTAAGATTTTATTCATTTTTTTTTATTTCACAACCATAGTTATTTATAGACCGTTTATTTAGTCTCCATTATTTCATCCAATGGACTTACCAAAGTTCTAAAACTCTGATACAAAAGTTCAAACATTAATTTACATTGTTGTACAAACATTTTATTTTAGATTTTCATTTTTTTATCGACATCATGGCAGGTTTTGAAGAAACATAGGTTTTGAACTTTTTGAAGTGTCTGAATAAATCTTTAAGAATTTTAAAAATAATTTTAAATTAATATAGTTAACATTATATACTTTACATTATTTCCACCAAATGTACAATATAGAAAACAACCATTGAACCCATAGCAATCTTTTCTTAAATTAAAATTTACAATTATGTTTACAATAATATCCATTTCTATATAAGCAATATATTTTTTAACTTTAAGATTACGCATGCATCTCTTCAGAACAGATACGATAGAAAATCTCCTCAGAACAGATGAGAAGATACTCATTTCATTACAATGACAATAAAATCTTGGCAGGCTTTAAAGAAACATAGCTTTTTAAAACTTTTTGAAGTGAAAGATCTGAAACTAAAAATTACTTCACATGTATCCACTTTAGCTCTTAAGGCTGTATTAGAATCTTTTTGATTCAAAAAGCGAGTTGTTTTGCTCTACCTAGCACACGTTTCAGGAGTACGCTCCAACAAACTTTACCATAGCATAATCGTTATGGTTTTCCTAGGCATATTACATCAATATACGCGAAAGTTCATTAGTAATGATACAACAGGACATACCTTCTCATATTATTTGTGAAGTCTACGTAATATTATAACACTACAAGAACCTGCAAAATTGTTTCGAACCAAAATTATTTTTTTTTCTTCGCACTTAAATTCGAACTCTTCGTTTCGAAGTTGCCGCCAGAGGGCCACTGTGTGGCCCATTGTTAATTGCCCACTTTCAACATCAGAGCACTAAAATTAAACATTCCTTGCCTACCCGCCTCAGAACGTTGGTCTCGGCGTAAGTGATTTTCCGCGGCCTCGCTAATTTAGTCAACTTTTGCCAGCCAGATAAGCACCTAAATTACGCGTTCTTGTATTGGCTGCCACTGGACACTATCCGATTTCGGTAACGTATTTAATACGTTTTTGATTAATTAGTGATCAAGGAAATAAGTTCCGTGAGTGTAGTGCATATTTTCCCCTGTACATTGCGGTAATCTTGCCCTACTAGATGTTGACATCCGTCGCCGACCTACAGTCACCTAGAGGGGGGGGGGCAATAGATATCCCCCAAAAGAGGCACCGCCTCAGCCGAGACAAACTGTAAGCTTTCGACCGGTCTCCCGGCATGTGTGGTAGTGTAGTGCATGTAAGTGTAAAAGTGTGCAAGTAAGCGGTGAGGACAGCACAAGACAGGATAAGAAAAGATCGTGCGCACAATTAGGCACTGACCTTGTAAAACTTAATTGTGCATGTTGTGGTCGGCTCATTCCACGTCAAACGTGGCACAACAGACATTTTCAACTCTCACCCCCCTCTGATTTGAATGAAACTTTGTGCAAGCCTCTTTTATGATACTAACTCTCTCATTAAGTTTTAGAACGGTAATGTAGTTTGTTTGTATTTTACTCGTCTTACAAAATCGAAAAAAAAAATTCAGATTTTGGTGCGCAAGCGCTCCCTTAAATGGCAACATCTCCGTTCTATCAAACTTAGAGCAAGAATGTATATCTCCTTGGAAGCTGATATGTTATTCCATATAGATATGAATTGATAATTTATTTTATTATAGTGTTAACTAAGGTGCTGATGAATTCTTCTCTAAAACTTTAAAATAAAATACGCATTTTTTGTATTCATTTTTTCATAAATGTTGAAAGGGAGTGTGTGTGTGTGTGTGTGTGTGTGTGTGTGTGTGTGTGTGTGTGGCCTTATTGGTGAAAATTTGAATTTGGGATGGCAACGTAGCAGCAAGAAGTTACGATCCGAAATTCTTGCACAAGCGCCCGCGAAGGCCCTTGCTGGCTACAATGAACGGGAGCACTGTTCCCGGGTGCCGGAGTTAAGCGGTCACACGGGGATTTCGGGGGCGCAAGTGTTGACGTTTCGATCACTCGGGGGACAAAAACTGCGTTGGCAACTACTGAAATCTTCCGAGATTCAGCCTGAGACCAGTTATATATCGCGTACCGTAGGATCCAGAAACCTTTTCAGTGTGTGCGGCTGGGTAACATGAAGATCGGTTTATGTATTATTCGGTGTGTTGTAACCCATTGAATAAAGTTGGGCACTGTTCTCATAAAAAACTTGATAGTGTTCTTCCTTGGATGGCCATTGTACATCAGAATTTGTCATCCCAACAAAAAAATATGCGATAAATACAGCAAAGAAATGAAAGGGAAGATTGATTCGTGTCATGCATCAGAAGCTTCTCCAGATTCACTACAAGATGCGAATAATTAAGCGGTCATTAAGGTACATACATGGCACTTTTCAACAGTAGTCTTGTAAGTATTGAGCGAGGAGCGCGCGTCGAGTGAGCACTGACGTCATCACCTCGAACACTGCAAAGCTACCTCTCATAAATAATATATATATATAAATAATATATATATATAAATAATATATATATATATAAATAATATAT